CTTCTTGGTGCACCAGGAAACAGGAGCCCCGCCGAGCGAAATGAAGAACCCTGTAGTGGAACGACGAGTACTCTGGCAACCGGTCCAATCAGCATCACAATAAGCAACAAGATCAAGCGGGCCCTGCGCCTGGATAAACAAACCTTGGCCAGGGGACTATTTGAGATAACGAAGAATGCGGATAGCGGCGTCCATGTGAGCCTGAGTTGGGGCGTGAACAAAGCGACTAAGTACATTGACACCATAAGTAATATCGGGGCGCGTGACTGTGAGGTACTGTAGACGCCCAATGAGACGACGATAAGAAGAACCATCAAGCAGGGGAGCAGAAGCATCAGGCTTCGTCAGCTGATGATTTTGCTCGACAGGGAACAGGCTGGGGCGAGCTGCTTGAATCCCGGCTTCCTCAAGAATATCAAGGACACACTTTCTCTGACTAAGGATGACCCCCTGTGGAGACCGTGCCACTTCAATGCCAAGGATATAGCGGAGTGGGCCCAAATCTTTGATGCTGAACTGTCAATCTAAAGAGGCCTTGACTTGATTGATGAAGTCAAGGTCATTACCAGTGAGCAGGACGTCATCGACATAAATCAGAGCAGTAACAAAAACAGAGCCACGCCGGTAGACGAACAATGAGTGATCGGCAGGAGAAGCACGAAAACCCATTGCACAAAGAGCTGTGGTGAATTTTTGGTACCAGTTGTGAGAGGCCTGGCGCAACCCATATAAAGACTTATGAAGGCGACACACGCGCTGATCCCCAGGAGCCGCAAAACCAGGTGGAATGCGCATGTAAACTTCTTCTTCCAGATCCCCATGGAGAAATGCGTTGTTGACGTCAAGTTGATGGAGAAACCAACCTTTGTGGACTGCAACAGTGACCAGACAACGCAAGGTAGTGAGTTTGGCCACCGGAGCGAAAGTATCATGAAAATCCACCCCTTCGACCTGTGTGAACCCTTTTGCAACGAGTCGCGCTTTGTAGCGCTCGATGGTACCGTCAGGACGATACTTGATCTTAAATACCCATTTCGAGTCAACGATGCGCCGATTGGCCGGAGCTGGCACGAGGGTCCAAGTCCCATTTTTCTCAAGTGCAGCAATCTCTGCTGCCATTGCAGCCCGCCAGCAAGCGTGACGGAAGGCTTGATTAAATGTATGAGGCTCATCCTCTTTGCTGACATCTGCAAGGAAAGCTCGATAGTGTTGAGAGACATTAGCATAGGAAACAAAATTGGCTAGAGGATACCTGATGTCGGAGGCCTCAGCTTGATAACATTCATAGTTGTCGAGGTGCTTAGGGCGGGTACGATGACGATCGCCACGCCGAAGTTCAGGGGCCTCGTCTATGCTGGACAAGGCAGGCCGAGGTGTCTCAGGGGGGGCCTGCTGAGTGGGGGACTGGAGCACAGGTCCAGGCAAAGTGGGAAGGGCCGAATCTCGGGGCCTGGGCAAATTGGAGAGCGGCCCGCGGGGAGCAGATCGGGCCGAGCTGGGCGTCCGGCAAGGAGGAGAGGCCTGGGTAGCTGGGCTGCGATCCGCGGGAGGAGTGGACCCCCGGGCTAGGCCAGGTGGAGCAACGGGCGGCCCAGTACAAACAGCAGTGGAAGAAGGCCCAGCCTGCTGCGCTGGAGTGCTCGGCTCGGCAGCATCCTCAAGAGTGGCAAGGGGATCAGCCGAACTGGGCAATTGGTGAGTGTCCTCTTCGAAGATAGTGGATGGTAACCAATGGTATTCGTGAGGATCCTGTGCACGATACGGAAAGTGAGTCTCATGGAAAATAACATCACGAGAAACAATTACCTTTTGAGCATCGAGGTCGAATAGACGGTAGCCTTTTTGAGTGCCAGCATAGCCCAAAAAAACACATGCACGCCCCCATGCTTCGAACTTGCGTAAGTGCGCGTGAGTGTCCTTGGCATAAACAAGGCACCCGAATACGCGAAGATGATCATAGCGAGCAGCGCGACCAAAGAGAATTTCAAACGGGGTCTTTCCCGTGGCAGAAGTGGGAAGCCTGTTGATAAGATAAACGGCCGTGAGCACACATTCTCCCCAGAACCGGATTGGTAGCCCAACATGAAATCGGAGGGCTCTAGCAGTATCGAGTATGTGCCGATGTTTGCGTTCGACAACCCCGTTTTGCTGGGGCGTATCCGTGCAACTGGTTTGCAAAATTATGCCCGTTCGATCATAGAAATCTCTCAACGAGGTGGTGTTGAACTCTAACCCATTGTCAGTCTGGATGCGACGAACCTGCCGGCCAAATTGAGTGCGAACCATCTCACAAAACATGAGAACAAATCGAGCAACGTCAGACTTAAACTTGAGCAAATATACCCATACTCCACGACTGTAATCATCAACAATGGTGAGAAAACAATGAGCCCCACTAAGAGAGACTTGTTTATAAGGACCCCAAATATCCATGTGGACCAAATCAAAACAACCCATGGTTTTAATCGAACTAGAAGAAAATGGTAGCCGACTCTGTTTAGCCCTTGAACAAGGATGACAAGGAGATAAAGGTTTGCTAATGGACAAAGGAACAATGGAACTAAGTTGAGACATCATCTCTAGCGAGGGATGGCCTAGGCGCTCATGCCACCGTTCCTGCGCCACACCGACTCCACGACCAGCAGCTAACGCGAAATACTCATGACCACCAAAAAGTTTCAAATAGTAAAGTCCATCACGAAGCTCACCCTTCCCAATCACTGTCTTGGAGTGTAAGTCCTGAAGCACACACATGTCACGCATAAAAATCAATGCAACATTATTATCTTGTAGTAAACGACTTACGGACAACAGGTTACACCGAAACTGAGGGACGTGTAAAACACGGTCAAGAGTGAGCCCTGTAGGAAGCTTCACACTGCCAACCTGCTGAACAGGAATCCGATCTCCATTTGGCAGCCGAACAGGCTGACCTTCACCATTCGAAACCACATCACATAACAAATCTGAACTGGTCGTGATGTGTTCATTACATCCAGAATCGATCAACCACTCAAGTGAATCAAAAGAGTTACCTGCCATGTTGGCCGCGGGGTCCTCGACCGACTTGTTGTGGTCAAAAAATTTCTTCAATTGCTCCAGCTGGGCAAGTGTGAAACCTGGAACAGGACTAGCCTCACTGTCCACTTGAGCTGCACGCGGAGCTCCTTCTTGACTGCCACGGCGAGGTCTGCGTTCTCCTCGTTCAGACGTGGCTCTATTTGGCTGATCATCTCTGCCACGCTCTCTCTTGTCAGTCGATCCCGACCTATTGTTGCGAGGTGGCCAACCGATCAGCTCGTAACATGTCTCCTTGAGGTGCCCTGTCTTCCCGCAATGAGTACACTTCGTGCGAGGGCGAGAGCCTGAATCTCGATCGGGATCGGCCCGACCAGAATCTCCTCGTGCAGCAAATGCCGCAGCTTCAGCGCCAGGCCGTCTTTGTTGAGCCAACAGCCTTTGCTTCTCATCATTGGACACGATATTGAACGCTTCAGCAAGGGAGGGCGGCGGTTTCATGGCCAGAATTTGAGACCGCACCGTGGTGAAGTTCTCGTCCAACCCCATTAGAAAATCCAGCAACCTGGTGCAATCTTCCTTGTCCCTTGTCTGCCGCTCAAGACCACAGCTACATTGTCCGCAAGTGCATCTTTCGGGAGGATAGATGGACTGCGCCTCCTGCCAGTAGCTGCGCAGCTGGGTATAGAATGAGGATACAGAGAGCTTCTCTTGCCATAGCCCAGCAACCAGTCTCCGCAGCTCGTACCCTCTTGTGAGTGATCCTTGGCCGAACCGTTCCTTCAAATCCAACCAAATTTCTCTCGATGTTTTCGCAAACCTAACACTGCTGCGTACCTCTTTATTCATGGAGGTACGTAACCAGCCCTTGACGACCGCATCGCAGCGATCCCATGGTCCATTCTCTGGCTCATCTTTCGGCCTGACGATCGAGCCGTCGACGAACCCGAACTTATTCTTGACAATGAGGGAGTCAGTCATATCGACTACCCACTCACCATAATTCGTGGGGGTGAGTACTACCCCGACATGGAGTTGCCCCGTATTGTCTGACGGGTGGAGATAGAGGACCGACGAAGGGTCCATGACTGCCGCCGAAGTAGACGATCCTCCGGGAAACGAGACGACCTTCTTCTCACCTGAGTTCTTCGTCTCTTCGGTATCGCTCATGGCGATGACGAAACGATTGACTTAGTGGCGCCCTAGAGCGAGCGCTCTGATACCATGATAAATGCTGAGTTGTAACGAAAGCTGTAAAACGAAAGACACGATGTTTACGTGGTATCCCCGAAGTGTCGAGACTAGTCCACGAGAGAGGGAATCCTCTCCTGCTACTGTTCTTATTATTCGTTAACTTGATAAGCCAAGCGGCTGTACATCACAATATATATGATTGGATACAGTAGCTACGGTTTTGGTTTTGCTCAAGGTTTCCTTTCTACACGATGGAGAAGGAGTGAAGGACTCATGTCCATGCAGCGAGAGGACGAGGGAACCACGTCCTGGGCTGCTTGTCCGGGCTGGCCCAAGGTGGAGGTGGTCGTCGTATCTCGGCCCAATAGTTACCATTTTATTACTAACCCAAATTTATGTGACCTGACCAATGACACAAAAACGTTTCATCACTTCATCTCAATCCCGCAATGGAACGCGGGCGGGCATACCTATTATGTATATATAGCAGCTGAGACATAAACATCAACGGTAGAATTGCTGGAGGAGTTCCTTAGAGCTAGAGGCCTAAGCTAGGTCTTCATCCCATTTATTTGTAAAACATATATATAGGTATCGTTTGCTTGTGGGAATTGGGTGATGGATATGGTACCAAATCCCAAGGATCATGGATTTGACACAAATTCATTGTTTGTTATGTGACACAAATTCGTAGGATCCATGGATTTGGACTCATTTTTTAAATTCAAATTCGTGCACCCCACGGATTTGCAAATCCCACACTTCATTTGGGATTTGATAATGAAAGGCAAAATGTAATACAAATCCATCATAAATATATGATAAAAATAAACTAGACAAACAGTGTACTCTTACAAATCCATAATGCAACAAATCCAACATAAATTCAAAAATTTTTAAAACTTAAAACGCTAATTTTCAAATCCAACAAGCAAATAATATTCTTATTCATTACGACACTGGTTCATTAACGATTTTTGATAGCCATCTTTTCCATTTGGAGCGGAGTTGGGATCTTGACATCAGAAGCCAAGCCCACCACTTGAAGGAACTTCACCACGTACCAAGTCACGTCAATCTGCCACCATTCGAGTCCATGCCTCGCCGAGCTATTGAAAGCGTGGTGATTGTTGTGCCAACCCTCTCCAAACGTCATCATCGCCACCCACCTATATATATTGAGATTACCTTAAAAAGTTTGCAATAATATAACAATTCATCACTGTTGATATAAATGGTAGGCGTCACAAATAAATTAAAGAGCTGGGTTACCAATTGTTTCTGGACAAGTCGTTGGTGTTCCAAGGTTGGGTTCCCCAAATATGGGCAGCTGAGTTCACTAGCCACGTCAAGTGATGACAAAGAACAACACGAAATCCCTGAAAATAACTATTATGTAAGACTTAAAACAATATAATTTTACAACTATTATGTAAGATAAACAATTATTATGTAACTATTACATAATAAGCATATTTTACGTAATGTGAACTGAAAATCCTGCAAGCATATATGAAATACAAGTTAATTACTAATATTAAAGTAATTTAAAGACGTGGTAGGATGTCTCTACTTTGTTTTTAAACGAAAAAAATATATAACATACTTCATCAACTTGGTTTTTCAAAAAACTTGAAAGATAATTATCCTTAGAGTTCTTCTTCTAGCTTGAACTTAAACTTCTATTTCATAAAATTTTAGAAAAAATATCAAAGAAACACTCTAATTAGTTAAAGAGTTTGAAGTATATATAGGGCCGTTTCTATATGGTAATAAGTGAATTTGAGTGTACACATTCCATTAGTAAGAAAATGTTATCTATATATCGATTTTAATGGGATTTTAGTACATAGTACTATACTAATCCTTAACCCATCCTCCCTAGGTGCCAATTCTCTTAAATTCCAAACCCGAAACTCGTGTATCTAGTATATGTTACTTGTGTTTCAATGAGTTAGAATTACCAATAATTTTTACATATAAAATTATCTTAGGGTTTAGAGAATAGCTATATGGTTTACTCATTGAGATTTAGAGTATCATTATATATATAAATTTATCTTAGAGTATAGTACATGCCCTAAAATTTGATTAGTTCAAGACCTAGATATTATTTTATGAGTAAGAGTATGTAGTACCCAAGTTCACCAAGCGGTATATGAGGATTTCTATAGTTCCATATATATAGAGGGAGTTCTATGGACTATGGGACACTTTGTGAATTTTGGATACCACATAATCTTAATAAAAAAAATAGTATCTAGATCTTGAACTAACTAGATTTTGGGTATGATATATACTATAGTAAATTATGAGCCCTAATTCTCTAAACCCTATGTCCTTAGATCAATTGATTTAGAAATAATTCTCGAGAAGTCTGATTCGTCAAGATATACCCAACATACCAAATGTACCATTTCAGGGTTCAAAGTATAGAGACAGTGGCAGAGCCGACATGTATGAAGGCTCGAGATTAGTACATAAAAATAACAATATTTGTACACAATTCATACTTTCGTAGTACTCAAATCAAATACCACATGTTCACTAGTTTTACTTGTCTTTCAACATATTATAAAGGACTTTTTTTTACCGTATATTATAAAGACTTTGTGTCACACATTAAACTTAAACTTGCATATTATGTAGACAACTCTAGTCTTTACATACAAATACTTCTCTCATTGTTTATTTTTAGTTTTCTAATTCCTAATTCAGTGTCGAACTCTCCATGTTCAAACGAAAATCAGTCGACAATCTATAAAACTGTGATGTGGGTCATTTAAATATTAATATTTTTAATTATATTTTTTTTTGACAAACCCTCTTTAAGTGAAATCCTTACTACACCACTGTATAGTGAAATCATGACTACGTCACTCCCTTCGTATCATTTCTTAATTATATTAAGGCAACACAATATCTTTAAATTGGCTCCTGATAGGATAGAAGCAATTCCATACGCATATATACTACTTAATCAAGCTTGTACTACTTAATCTCACGCATATAAATCAATGACAAGAAGAAAATTAATAGAAAGGTGAGGAAGAAGGTGATGGGATACTGACCATTCCCCAAAACAGGTAGGGAAGTCCACCATATTTGTAGAGGAGAACACCAAGGGATATGGGATGGAGAAAGTAAGTTTTATGAAGCCACCTATAAAAGGCCTGATTATCCAAATCACCAACATTTTGTCGTCTTCCACACTGCTAGGAAAGGAATGAGCACATTCATATCTATATATATATATTTGAGAAACCAAATCTAAATCCAAATAAGTAATCTTTTGAGCAAAAGATTGAAAAATCGTATCGTATAGGTGGTTTGATCAATAAAATCTCCAATTCAAAGTGAAATTGGTAGATACAGTATTTAACGATATGAAACGGTTGAAACGCGATTTTTACATTTAATACCATATCGCTGATTTTTTCGATAGTACAACCTCCGATACGATTTATCAATCGTTGCTTATAACACACATTACATTACCTTTCCTTTAATGGAGGTTGAGTTGAAGATCCATCCCAAGTGACTGAACCAAAACCCTTCGGCAGGGCTATGTGGATCTCGATCTGTGTCACTGTGTTGATGATGAAATCTGTGGGTGCTAACCCAATAACCCGGATCCCCCTGCCATGCACCCGCCACGCATTATTAACTCATTCATTAACTCCAACAATATTATTTAGACCACAATTTAAGATTTTGAAGTATGATACTATACCTTAATTTTAATGGGTGAACACCAATTTTTAATTTTCTCAAATGATTTAATTAAAAAATAATTATCAAAGACTTTGATTTGTCAAATTACATGTAATAAGTATAAACGCAGACACATCGGATATATCTAACCTGAAACACACATATATATGCGGTACTCCAGATTTCACCCATGATACCGTAGAAGGCACCATATATATATATTTTGTGGTACGTAATTAATAATTCTTACTATCACCGTAACAGTGAACACTATACATTGGTTAAGAAACAAAAAGGCTATCCAAACCAAGAGATCCCCAACAAGGGGTTTTGTCTTCCAATAAAAAGATACCCACTTTCACATCATTTACTTCATATTTCAACAAATAACAAAGTAACAACATACAATCCCCATTAATGTACTACTAATTCTACCCAAAAACAAAAATTAATGTACTATTGTCTTTTTTTTTTGTATGAATGTACTATTGTCTATTAGTTCTATACCTGAATTTCCAAACCCTTTTTTATGTGGTTTCTCCTTTTTTTTTTCTAGAGCATGTTCTGAAGGAATTTGACTCACAGCCTAATGAATCTAGCAAGAATATTCTTGTTCATTTAACTTGCGATTCACAAGTTGGATATAAATATTGATAACTTTATCAATAATCCCACAGCGTGGACCTAACAACCCAAAAACACATGATCTAATACCATGTCAACAACCCGTACGTATAAGAATTCCAACCGATTTAAAATGACATTTGCCTATTTTTAAAATGTGGGGAGACAAGACGAAAATAGAGATTGAGCTACCTGGAGGGCGTGGAGGCCTAAATAAGCGAAGAAATACTCGAGCCACTTGGGGATCTTGAAACTCTTGTGGCAGAGATGCCTGTGGTAAGAGAGGTTGATGCCCAGCAGCCCCGTGGTGTTGGCGAACACAATCGCAAACCAAAACGCACCCCAGCTGAAGTAAAACGGCGCCACTAACGTCAGCAAATGCGGCGGCAAGCAGTTCACCACCGCGAAGACGTCCCATTTGGTCCATTCCCTCGTCATCTCCAGGCGGCGGCGCTGCTTGCCGTTTCCGCCGGCTGCTGCTGCTTCTTCTTCTGATCCCGCTGCTGCCATTATTGTTTCGTTTCCTTTCCCACTTCTGTATGTTATACGTAGTGGGATATATACTTCAGTATTTCCAACCACATTGCATGTGTAGATAAATATACACAGACGTAGCAGGCAAAGTAATTAATACGCGTACAATGTAACTGTAAACTGTCATTTTATTTATTACGTTACGGACCATTTTTTTTTTGTTATTTATTCATCGTGGTAGGGCCTTAAATATTAGATGCCATTTGTGCAATAGAAGAGAGACATGATATACATTTTGATGGTGTTTCAAATTAAGGTGACGGTAGGGGCCATCGGTTTTGTGCTTAAGTTTCGTTATGTACCTTATGTCGTATAATAACGTTGCACATATAGCGTCGCAAAGCAAGCTCTTTCATCGTTGGATAAGTTATTGGTCGCCCATCATATATCACCCTATTTTTTTTTAAATGTTCTGTGAGCTAACTTGTAAAGATCTTGTATATCTCGCGTTTAACTAGCTATTTTTCTTCGAAGATACCATTTTTAACAGCTCGTTTTCAACCGTGACAAAGTGAGCTGGCTCATTTATGAAGGGTAGTTGAAATTTTCAAAGTTTCGTCGTCGGTGGCTTCATGCTCGTGTAAAATTAACCCTCTCCTCCCTTCTCTCAGCCATACATCTTCACCATCAAGTTTTCCACCTAACTTCCTTACACTACCGCTTCCCAACAGCAACAATTTAATTTACCCCTCCATCGATCTCCTTCCCGTCATGTTATATTCGTCAAATCAACAAGACCGCCAAAAGTCTTCTCGACGTCGCCATCATTGTCGTTGCCCGGTAGAATTAGATGACCACGTCACCAGCAACGACTTTCATGGCCGCGCTCACACCTTACTCTCTAGTCCAGTAGGTAACTTCACCGCGGGGGCTTGTGCTTCTTGTGTCCTATGCGCTTAGTCTTTGGTCTCTCGGTGGAGACGAGTTTAGAACTCTCTTAGTTCCTTCCGTTAACTGAGAGCTAATTAGCACACGAACTACATACGACCTCAGTTCCATAAATGAATATTGAACCGAAACCTGGCTTGCTGTCCTAACCTAGGCTCGAGGTTGAGACGATAAAGAGATGCTTTGCTTCTCCAATTGGATCATTGCTCAACTAGAAGTAGCCTCAAAAGACCTAACAATTATTACTTTGAAATATCGAAACATCTGTATTACCACGATGCATTTTCGAGGAGAACTTGCTTCCGCTTTGACAGAGAGTAACCAAAAAATTTTTTAGGCAATCACTTGATGAGATTTTACCCTCGTATCCTTTTCGACTCTCAGTGATCATGGCATATTAAGTTCACCAAGAAATGACTTAGCGGAATTTTACCATATGGTGCCAAAGCGTTTTCCTCTTCCTGAAAGATGATGATTGATTAATGTTTAGAGTTCCAACTTCCATGTCATAAGTTTAGAAATCCATAGTAGTTCTCTGGTTGAGATTTGTGATATGCCTCTCGCATTCGTTTGAGGTGATATCGCTTCTGCCAGCCATTTCTCCTGGAACGTATGTGTGGCTCGTTTAGATCACGAACTGGAACAAGAGAGAGGAAACCGATTTTTCACTATTCGTGATAAGTTTGGATAAGGATAAATAGTATTAGAAAGGAAAACCTTCTTCAATATCTAAAACAAGATATATTCTATCCTTGTATTAATTCATTTTAATAATTAAATATTTTACAATTAGTAAACTAGATTTATTGTCACAACCTACATGTTCCAAAAAAATGTTAGAGCATTGAGAGGACCGGGAAGGACGCACCTCTGGTCCAAACCCTTTCAATAGGGGTGTTCAAATGGAATGGTTACTTGGTAATCATTTTAATCGATACTATTTGGATAATTTGGTTTGGTTTGGGAAACTTTTTAGCTTGTTTGGATTGGCTTTACACACTCCTAACCAATCAAACCAGTTAAGCACTCAAGCAACTAGCAATGTGTCCAATATATTATATACACATACATATATACTTAAATAATACTTTGCATATCCACTGAAAAGTCGAGCGTTCCTCCCTTTTAGACCCATAAAAATAAATTGTATTATATATTGTTCCTATATTATATATCGATCTGGAAGAATCACATGTATCTGATTGGGGAAATGAACGAGATCTCAATAGATAATACCTTGGATGGAATTCGAAGGAATCAAAAGGGAGTCAACGTTGACAATATTTTTTTATTGTAGAGCGCAATATGATAAAGGTACAACCATGATCATAAAGGTACAACCATGAAACTCCAGAAGAGTATTCAAATGTAATAAGTCTTTGAAAGGCATAAATATTTGAAACTCAAGAAGAGTATTCAAAGGTAATAACTTGAAAGAAGACTTTGCCTAGATTGAAAATAAAATATTGGGCTAATACCACTACAACACCCGAACTATCGCGAAAATGCCACTTGTGTCCTATTGTTTCCAATATTCCATCTGTGTCCTGAACTATGATTCCGTTAGTGTTGACTTTTGTTGACCGTTAGTTTTTAACAGAAAATCCAGTCAGTGCTGATGTGGCATCTGACGTGGAATTTGAAATATTAATTTTTATTTATTTTTCTATCTAATATTAATAAATAAGAAAAAGAAAATAATTAAAATATAAAATACAATAAAAATTTAACCCACCCTCGTTCCACCAACCTCTTCCCCAAGATCCAGATCTACAATTCCTCTTCTCCTTCTCCTTCTCCTTCTCTTCCCACTAAAAAATTTGAACCCAAAGTCGAAACCATCAAACGAAGGCTTCTAAAGAAAGGCTTATAAACCCTAGCAGCAAGCAGCAGCCGTACCCCTCATCCTTTCCATTTCCCCTTCCCAAACCTAAAGAACAGACCTCTCTTCTCAATCCTCAAGCGGAAAGCAGCAGGCCGCCTCATTCTTTCTAAACTCTCCCCTCTCGTCCTTTCAGCCGCAACAGCAGTGAGCGGCGATGATGACTTGCTGTTTGAATCAAGGCTGGACATGCTATTTGAAGACGGCAAGAAGGAAGTGTGATTGAAATCGGAGCGATGGTGAGAGTGATGCTGGGGCGGCGGAAGAACGACGAAAGGGGTACATGGACCCCTGCTTGGCGGCCACAAAGACGCTCTTGCGGGAGGAGGATAAACAGGTGGATCGGAGGATTTCAATTTCAGAGTCGTCGATCTGTCCAGGGTTTATGGCCCATGAATCGACAACAAGGGAAACTTTGAGCATCGATTAACAACCTAGTTGGATCCCAGAAATCCCACTTGGCCGCGGTGCAGTGATGAAATCCGAACAGAGAGCTAAAGAAGCTCCCAGCCTTCTTCAAATTTCAGAGCTCTTCTCAGATCTGTTTGGTCAGGTCGCTGAATCGAATCTCCTCTGTCCATTTGGTCTGATTCCGCCGACTCCGCTTTCTTTGACGAGAATGGAATCCCACGGAGCTTCTCGACGCCAGTGGCGGTGATGAATTTGATTGTTGATTAAATTCTTCAACAAGGATGGAGAGAAGTGAACCCAGCTCTTTCGTCATAGATTGCATGATTCGTAGATGCTGGCAGGCAAGGAGATCGATTCAAACTGAAATCGCCGAATATTTCCAGCAAGCCTTTCCGATGCTGTGTGGGGAGGACGATGATGGGGGATGATTATGCCGATGGTGGGTTGCGACTGCCGCCGAACGCGTTCTTGACGAAGCAGATGGCGAGGCAGAAGGGGAAATTTTTTAGAGCGAGAGAGGCAAATCGGTGGAGAATAGTTTTTTTTTTAATTTGAGGTTATAGAATATTATTTACTAATATTCTTGAATTTAAAGTTTTTCAATTTTTTATTTTCAAAGTTTTATTTAATTTAAATTAAAAATGTGAGGTGTCAATGAGTTGGCATTGCCACGTAAGCAAAAGTCAATGTTAAGTTGACCGCCGTTTGGTCAACTGTTATCTTTAACGGTCAACAAAATTGACAGGATACAAATGACACAAAATATAATAGTTCATGACATGAATGGAATATTGAAAACAATAGGATACAAGTGACATTTTCGCGATAGTTCGGGTGTTGTAGTGGTATTAGCCCTAAAATATTTGGAAGAAAAAGTCATGTGCACCAAAATATATGAATATATTCAAATGATAAGAATGGGTAAAGGATCCATCAAACATATTGATGATTAAGATCCTTGTGAGAATAATGATATATCGATAACATAAATTATTAATTATATAGTATATTTTTCAAATATTGATCCAAATGAGCATATATATATGAAGGTGATGTTACATGTATTTCCTAAAAAATTGTACATTTGAGATTATTTAAGTGAGAAGTTTTCCATTCGAGAACTACACTAGAATTATGAAGCCAATAAAGTTTGTTAAAGGACTATCCAGTAAATATGTCTATTACACTGCATCCCATAATCTCGTGTGAAAGGTTATTGGAGCTCGATGATTTGAAATGTTGATAGATCTCTCTTTGAGGGGGTGAGACTTTACGCACTGCACTCATTTTTCTTTAACCATGGTATTTTCTACTGGGATTCCTGGTAAGGTTTTTAACGAGGCAGTATCAAAAAACATAAGAATGGAATCATATACTCTTTTTCCTTCGCCAGGTTTTCATCCCACTAGGTTTTTCCCGACAAGGCTTTGATGAGGCATGTACTTGGACATCCAATGAGGACTATTATGAGATTTAAAATGTGGATGTCTATATTCATTCCCCAACCACCATCTTCCCAACTCTATATTCATGATGTTTGGAATTCACAAGCACTCTTGGCTAGAAAAGAGATCTATGGAGGAAGGATACTACACAAAGAACTATTTTGTTTCTATTCCAAGTATATATTTTTGTCTCTACAATTTTGTGTAATACGTGTATGAGAGTATAGAATAAAAGCAGTGTTACACTTGCTCTTCTACTTCATGTTCAATGGTGTCGCTTCTTCCCATCTCCGGGACACTTGTTTCTAACAATAATAACAAATTTCCTATACCCAAAATGAACTAAATTCATCCACAATCCATCATTTTCTAAATCCAAGAATTTTCCCCAAAACGTTGTTTTTCAAATCAAACAAGTA